CCAAATGCTCCATTCATAAGCTCTGTCTCCCGCCGGAGCCAGACAGAGATCACAATGGCGGCACAGCCCAGAAAGCCGGCATTTTAAAACAGCCAGTTTTTTCCTGCTGCCGAGTCAGGACAATTTCTTTGCAGCACGCAACCCAGAAACAGCAAAAAGCTGTCTTAAATTCTCTCTCTCTCCTTCTTAAGCCCTCTCAGGTTTTTAAGTGGATTTAGCCCATCACGTCTGGGCGCCACTGATCTCCCTGACATCCACAGGCAGATGACTGGTACTGAAGGCTCTGACAAGAGAATAGCAAGCTGCCTCATTCTTGTTACTTTATCCAGAGCTCTCCATGATGGCCAGCCTATAAGAAACCTGCCTTTAGGGTTTGTCTCTATAGACCTAACATGGGTCATTTTGCAAATATCTTGGATAGTATTATGGAGCTAGGATATTAAATGATTCGCCAAAAGTTTGAAACACAACCAATGAATGTGTTAAGTGCCTGCAGGGAAAGAGTGACTCGGGAAGGGAAACTTACGAACACCCAGGCATTAGTTACTCAGGTCATGAGAAGTCTTAACAATGTCAGCTTAATGGGTTTTTAGAAACGCAAAGAGCTAATTAAAATTAGCTGAAAAAAATGTTTAATCTCACCAGTAATCAAGTAGATGAAATGATACCGATAATGCATTTCTATTTTCAGTTTATTTTTAATTAGTAATGTCCAACAGCACTCACTGAGGTTCCACAGTTGGTGAGACTCTGACATTATTTGTTTCTTGAAGTGTAAAGTGCTATGTGGAAAGTGACATGGCCACAGAAAGGAAGAATTCTAGAACTACTCATGTTTTCTAGCTAGACATTATCATTCAACGTAAACGTGAGATTCTATTATTAAGTATGAAAAGGAGAGTGTGTGTTGGACAGGTAACTAGCAATTGTTATTGCATTATACATTCGAACTTGAACAGCAGTTTGCTAAAAGATTTTCATTTTTTGAAAATAATGCCAACAATAGGGGAATGTTTATAAACCACAAATCTGTGCAGTTTTACAAACCGAAGACTCCCAAAACAAAATTCATAAATTGAAATGGCTAAGACACAGCCTGCTAAAAAAATTTAATTAAGAATAGAAAACACTCTGTGAAACAGTGAGCTGCAAACACACCAGTCACCATCCCCTACACTAAGGGCGGGCGCTTGAAGATCTTTCCCACTGCAGAATCAAATGTCAGAAAGTAAAGGAACCACATCCCGATTCAGTCCTCATATCACCATTTCCTGACATTTTCTGAAGACTTGAATGGACTCTAAGTGTTTTTGTTTGCTCGACCAATACCTTATAAGATAATGTTACTGTGAGTTCCATTTACATATGAAGAATCTGGGATAAAAAGAAGTTAAAGTGTCTTGTTCATTGCCTCACAGAATGCAGAGTCAAACACAGCCAGTGGGATTTACCAAAAGCATATCATTTCTGCTTCCCATCTGCAGATAGATCTGAGTCTATAACTAGACAAAAAGTTACCACTGATAAATACAGGAGTTTGCAAAATATGGTTTTCCTCTATGTATTTTAGTAACCTCTCAGTATTTCTTAAAATTATCAAGATATTAATTGCAATGAATTATATAATAGGAAATGACAAAATAAAACTTTCTAAAATCTTAAAAATACAGATTTAAAAGTAATGACATCCAGTAAACTGCTTTAGATGCCAAGATGCTTAAGTAGTGAATTTATTTAACTTTGGGTATATATTAAATGTTAAGTGTTAAAGCCAACACAGTTTTTGTGATGTAGTTTTAAAAAAACAGACCGGCCAGGAGGCCGTATGTAAACCATCATTGTCGAGTGTCACACACTGGCTCCTGAAAGGAATTGGTTTGCTCTGCTGGAGAGATCCCTTTGCGCTATGACTGTGACTTTCTAGAATATTCTCAACGACTCAGCTCCATTTGATTTCTGTCTTCCAGCTGAAACTAAGATCTGCTTCAAATACTACCATGGCGTGAGCGGAGCCCTGCGAGCCACAACCCCCAGTGTCACTGTCAAAAACTCAGCAGCTCCTGTAAGTGTCTGTTCTCCCTCCTGCTCAGACCCAACTCCCATGGTACTTTGCTTTCCTGTGTTCTTCATGTGTGTATGCAAACACATTTACCCATATGCACATATCTACACTTGCACCTACACATATATAAAGAAACACTGGTAGTTGAATTAAGAATGCACACTACACACATGCGCACACACACACACACACACGCACACACACACACACCACACACACTCACGCACGCGCACCTCAGACTAGTGGCAAGGAATGACAGCAAAAGCTGTCGTTTTCAGAGTACAGGCCATGCGAATGTTAGAGAACTGCCAACTGTCTGGATTTCCCTTGGCAAAATGTTTCCATGGGGATATACTTAGTAGCAGCATGGGAGGCTTTCTTTTAGGAAACTATTTATAATTCACTGATTTTGAATACTTATATTTCTGATGTTTTGATTTCTTTTGGGACTCACAAATAAATTAATTAATTTGAATGTATTATCTCACCTCAGGTTCATCTCAGTCATATGAAATGATAGGCCTAGAAAAGATAAAAAAAAAAAAAACCTCACCTCCTTTCTTTCCATAAATGAGAACTCTAACAAGTGAGTCCCAGGTACCTCAAGCCACACAGTTAGTGAATCCCAGATCCAAGACTTGTCTTTGTTTTTGCTTTTTGTGCATTTTGTTTTTGTCATTGTTGTTGATTGTGTTCTTCTGAGACAGGGTCTCACTGGGTAGCTAACCCAGGCTGTCCTGGAACCAACTACTCAAGGATAGCCTTGGATTTACATACATCCTTCTTCCTATGCTTCCCAAGCGCAGAGATTATAAAAGTGTGCCGCCAGGACTTAAATCACAGCTTTTGTTCCCTTCTATGTGGTTCTACTCAGTGCTACAGGAATAGATGCTACCTTTACCCAAACTGCAGTCTAGTCGATCTTCGTAGTGTTTCTCTTTTAGTTCTTTCAGAGTCTCATACTTCCTATTTTGATCAGTTTTACCAGTTTCTCTTAACTCCTCCCCTATTCACTCACCTTTCCCACCTAACCTATTTTTAATAACTTTGTCTTTATTTTTATTTTAAGGCAATTTATTTGTTTTGTTTTTAGGGTTTGTTGCTGTTGTCTCTCTTCCTCTTCTTTTTTGGATTTATTATTATTACTATTACTACAAATTTTCACCTCCTTCCCTCCTCTCATTTCCCTCCCCCTCCCCCTCCCTCTCCAGTCCAAAGAGCAGTCAGGGTTCCCTGCCCTGTGGGAAGTCCAAGGTCCTCCCCCCTCCATCCAGGTCTAGGAATTTTTGAAACACAGTTCTTCTACATAGCCCTACCTTCCCTACTCACAGGAATTAAAAGCATGCACCACCACACCCAGCTTGAGATGAATTTTTGCTGCCTAAATATTTTTTCTTTTTTTTTTTATTGAGAAAAGGGAAAAAAAGTTTCCGCCTCCTCCCAGCCTCCCATTTCCCTCCCCCTCCTCCC